TTTTGTCGTGATGGAACTAGTATTTTGTAAATGATCTGAAAAGTTCAGACCAACAAAGTATGCAGATGTTATTCGATGAGAGGTCGAAAATATCTAAAGACGCATTTGGTATGTTTATACTTTTTAGACAAGGACTTTGTTGTCAACTTTGAAATTTATGACAATTTTATTGACGAGGTAATGAGCGATTTGTCACGGGTGTTTTCAGTTTTGAGAGAATTTAGATTCTCAAATAATGCAGATAATGCAGATGTTCTTAGATAATAAGTTGAAAATGTCTGAGCAGCTTGATTAGGAAGTACTTCATGAATCCACACTTTTAATACGAGTGCGTATTACTTTATGTTGTTGTCAGCTGTGAATTGTAGACAAATCTGGTAAATGGCAAGGCTCATTGTATCCATGGTACAGCATCCTATTTAACTCTTACCAATATTGCTAAAAGGGAAACCACGCGCACTCGCGCATCATTTTATGGGTAAATTTAAAGTAAGCGAGTTTCATCATAACCATATTGTGCAAAATAAGTTACTATGGCAAATCTTACGAGAGTTTTATCTCCTGTCCAGAGGGTACCCTTATTAAAATTTAATTAAGAGGAGGTCAGTGGCAACCGAAATCGCTGAATTTTTCCTATCCTTTTTCGTCGCTAAATGACATGTAAAAGTTTTGTCTGCTATAAAAATACCAAGCTCTAGACCCAAGATCCATAAAAAGACAGCATCCAATTTCATTTCAGACTAACATCTCTTTGAAAATATAAGGTAATCGCTGATTTATTCGGCTCTTTTCCTGTTTAGGCTGTTTCGAATAAAGATTCTATGGCCCCGTTTCTATTACATCATGATGTTTAGCCCAAAATTTTTGCCTAATTTTCTTTTCACTTAGCCCTTTTCATTGTTTTGACCTTGAATTAACACTTTTTCGATAGTGATCCTCCGGGGCACAAATCAGAAAATCATTGTGCAATGTTGACTTACATGGCGCAGCTGGCAGGCTTTGATTGGTTAAACTGAGATTACGAAGGAACCAATCAGAAGCACTCCTAGACAATACGTCAGCTTATATTGAAATTTGCAGCTACTTCGCTAATAATTCAGGGAAAAAGCTTCGCACTTTTGAGCATACTTAATGACCTCCAAAACAAGTAACTCTGACAGATCTTCAAGGAAATTTAAAATAAGCAACTGTCCGTCAACTGAAAAGTTAGTAAGAAGGTTTTCTTGTTGTTAGTAACATGTGCACAAGCTCCTAAAGAAACTTACAACCGGCCTGGAACGGACACCACGCTCGACTGAGTGATGGCATTGGACTGTTCGTAGTTTTTAAATAAATTTGATATCAATAAAGACGCAGGCAATCGCTAACAACCTGGGCAATGTTAATTCAGAATTGCAAAACACAAAATTTGAATCTATACATCTTTAAACTACTGGACAACTTGGAGAGTTTCTTCAAAGTGTGTACAGCAATGTTCTGACCATGATAAACAACGCACAGCAAAGCCTTCGTCGACTGGATAAAATCATGATTGCTCTGAAACTCAATCCACTAATTCAAGTGCAGTACCTGGAACTTGTTATAGAATCTAAAAAGAACGAAGGCAAACCTGGCTAGAAACAACGTGTGGAATACTTCGAAGAAGCCAAACGTCACGGGCAGATATTATCAAAAGTTAAGGATGTCAAAGCAGAACAAGAGGTCATCCACGAGAAAACTCGAAGCGGAGAAAAGTGGTATCACCGATTTACGTTTTGGTGATTTCAGGTATGTATAAGATAGTCTGTTTCATTTTTTTCACCTAAAAAGCTAAGCTTAGATTCACTTACCTCTCACGCTCAGATCGTGATCGTGCAAAAGTTCTAGACTGAATTCTCGCTTCGGTTTCGCTGTGACAAAAAAATTATCTTCACATGATGCTATTTTTTAAAAGAATTTCAGCCAAAAAAGCTGTAGTAATTATGGAATTGTACATGTCTAACGGCCTTTTAAAGTGTTCCACTGCACGGATAATGATTTAAAAGCTCACTAGCCTTAATGAATAAGAAAAAAAAATAGTTCGGATTGTCATGACGTACCTGACATGGTGAGATAATCTCTTGGAAATGATTTCTTGGACAATTTTATCACCTCATTCTTACGAAAGAAACAGGGGAATAGCCTCAAACCTTTTCGCAGGTTTTGTATCTGATATAAAAAAAACGAAAGAAAACAAATTTAAACACTTCCTTTTCATGTAAGAATCTTCAGAGCCACATTAGACTATGATTGCAGTCCCTTCTCTTTAGCGCGACGGACTTCGCCAAAGGTGGGGACTGATCGTAGTCTATATCTAGAACACACTGCCTCATCGTCAAAGTAATTTTATTTGATCTCTATCATTATTTTATGACAATTCCTCTGACACCAGTGAGAGTCGAACTCTGTCGGCACTTTGTCTTGTTCACTCATGTCAACTTCGAGTATTGCGAATTTCGCCATTTCGAAAAAGAAATTTTCTGTTTGAGAATCTGGCAAGCTCTTTGCCTATCAATTTTTTCGATTCTGTATGCATACCCACAAAGGTGTCAATATAGATTTAATAGCAGGCTTTTACTTTTGAACGCCATTAAAAAAAAAAAAGCCAACAACAACAACAAGAAAAACAGCAAAAAACAAAGACAAACAAATCCTCATTACCCCCGTGAAAAAACATATCTGGAATTCATTACTTGATACATTTAAAACGCACTTTACTATTGAAAGCCATGAAAAAAAATTAAATTAAAAAAAAAAATAATTCCCATCCATAGCTAGAAATTATTTACAGTTATTCAAAACATACGGTGACTGTTCTGTTAATCAAAGATATGCTGTATATTCGTCAAGTTTGAGTTTGCTTTAGGAGGTTAATTTACATAGTCAACACTAAGTCGTACGTGTTGTTTTGATCTCACAAAATGAAGATAAAACTTCCATTGACAGCTAAGGGTAAACGAGTCACAGCCATGATCTTGAGATGTGTTAGGATCACTGTATCAGCTTTGAAAAAAAAAACCAAAAAAGGGGAAACTGGGTTAAAAAAAAAAAAAAAAAGTCTAAAACGCTAATCAAAAGAAACTTAAAACTCGCGTGACCTTGTCCGAATGTATAAAGAACTGAAAACAATCTAATTATAGCATAGCGAGGCCAAGTTGTTTAAAACAATGTTCTAAATTAAGCCTTGAAACTGACCAACTTTTCCACCTTTCTCAATCTACGTTTTGAATTCAACAATAATTTCGAAAGAAATATAAAACGATAACTGGGGAGAAATATTATTCTGCCAAAAATCTAACCCTTTTAACTATCACCAGGAAAGTCGATTCAAAGTGGATAAGGCATATGTTTGGAACCGCTCGGTCATTTAAAGCGAGCTTGCCCTTGGACATACCTGAATGGCACGCCCTAAGAAAATATTTTCTTGTACGTGCATATCATATAAATAGAGTTTTGTTATGTATACGTATGTGAATCAAATTTAGTGGCAGTCATTTTGCTGTCATAGCAACCGAAACGATTGTCGTCCCGATAGGTCATTTAGTCGGTTGTGGTCAGCATTGCGCTGAGTCTCCCTCGATGATGTTCAGCGATGCGATTGTGGATATCTCCTTTCTTCGTCGCTCGCTTGTGTTCCGTCAATCTTGTTCTGAGGTTTCCGCTAATCTTTGTAACTGAATTAAAATGATGTATGAGGCCTGCGTCTTCTTAAAATTTTAATTAATGGTCGATCGGTGAAGTACTTCAAGGCATTTTTAGCGTAAAATTTTAATTAAATAAAGGAAACAGTAAATTTTGTGTTTTGTCCAAATATCGCCCGGCATCGTTTTAACCTGCGTGCGTTGCCTGTGGTGGACCAGAAAAGATAATTGGAGGTGACGAAAAGTAAAGATGAAGGAAGACAATTTTATTCCCAAATGTATAAAATCGTCCATGGAATTTTAGAATTTTTATAAAAGGGAAGCGTGATTGAACTTTTTGTTATAATTCCCTAAAATAGTTCATCAGGGTGCCTTCGGAAAACTAAAATTCATTATGAAATATCGCATTTTTCAGCAGACTTTCCGCACACAGGCTTTAAACTAACATTGATAAGGCAATCATCAGCTGGCAGACTCTGGAAATGCTGCTGAATATTTGTGAAGGTTTATAAGTTTTGAAAGGCGATTTTGTACCTTTACGATCGATTTCAAAAGAGAAGAGAGAATTAAGGGCGACTTACTGATTTTTCAGTTTTATTTGAACATTTTCAAGAAGTTTTTGCCCTACCTGTTACCCGCGCTGCTTTCAAAATATGAATGTAAACGTAGATTTTTCATAATTTTTTAACGTTTGAAGCCAAGGGGCGAGACTGTTTCTGCGAGGGTCTCTCCCTGCTAAGTGTGACGCTGAGAAATACTATGGTTATATATATTTTAGTTTTGTTTTAGCAGCCTCCGGTGAAAATAAATAAACACCGTATGACAATCATGTAATATCATAGTCCACCTTTTACACGACAATGCCAGCGGAAGAGTCGTAAAGTTAATTGCTTGCTCGTTCGTGCCCATTGCCTCGAGGCTTTTAGCCAATAAGCCATCAAACACGTGCAAAGAGCACTAAATTGGCCCAAATCGTTTCCTATCTCTCGCGCCGTATCATGCGCACGTAATTAACTGAACCAGTTTGCTTGAAATAGATCATTTAGTAGCCCCCTCATTTCGGTATAAATAGCAAACCCCGCCCGGGGCTATGTAGGTAATGAGGCATCGTTCTCCTAATATAAATTGGAATAACATCTATTCTTGTGTTTCCCAAAAAGGTTTTCCTCTCCCTTTCTTGAAGAGAAGTATTAGAGATATAAATCTTTGGCCAAACAGAACAAAACAAAACAGTATTGAAACAAACAACTTCAGAACATGGAATATTGCACCGCAAGGCCTACGAATCGCACCCGCCCCACGCCTCCGCGCGTTAATTTGCCATACCACTCACGGTGCAAGTCCAAGCCATTCCGCACACCACAATGTATTATGATCTGGGTCACCCATTATGAATTTGAAAAGCCGCTGTTAGCACGAAAAAATTCCTTTCCTAAGGACCTGTAAACAGCTCGGGCTTAAACAAATTACGAAGAGATCTAATCCACGTAGTCACCGAGGAATCCAGTACAGGTACGTTTAAATGTTTATTGATATTTTACTTGTTCCATTAGCCCTCTTTGTGTACTTTGCTCTTCTACACGAGCTTAGGAAAAGAAGAGCATGCCGTTGCTACGCAGTCAAGTTTAACCTCTCATACGTAACTCTCGAATTATTTCTATGTTTTTTGGCATGGGCGAATTTCCCGTGCATCTGGCTTTTAAGAATTGCCAAGGACAATGTATATAAATCGTTCTCAAGCTTCCAAACCAGAGGGGATCAAAACATTAAATTATTCTGACAGTAAGCTTTGTTTTGCCTTTGGCAATAAACGTGCCTAGTCAATTAGAAGCACACCATGGCATTCATTTGAGTTAATGATTTGTAGCGACTGAGTGTTAATGATTTCCTTTTAAGCAACACTTTACTCGCTTGATTAAGAAAAAAAATTCTCGTGGATGTTCTTTTATGCAAAACCAAAGACCAGATCTGTGCGCTGATGCGAAACGCGAGTAAATGATGTTTATAAGGCCAAGGCAGATTTGAATTGAATGCGGACAGATTCGTATACATTGAGTGTGTGTGGCTCACAGTATCACGCAGAGCTAGTATTAGCTGTCGTAGCGCATTAGCATGACGGGTCGCATAGCTGGATATTTGTGGTAAACGGAGGAAATGGAGGCTTGAGATCTATGCGGCGGTTGTTTTTTTTTGTTGTCGATCTTTACTTTCCTTTCCAGAAGTTTCCTGTCAGTCGTTACCTTCCGATCTCGTGCTTTGAAAGCTGCAGCAATCCGAAGTCACCTTTGATTTGACCTATTTGACGTACGTCCTTGGTTATCAGTCGAGTTTTGCAATATAGTTCCTTTTGAGTCTGGCAAGGAACGACGACCAACAATTTACGATTTCCGAACGCGATTTCTGTGAACAACAATTCTGCAGTATCTCAGGAGAATCTTCGAAGAGGTATCAAGGACAATGTTGTTTGCTCTTTTGTCTTTATTCTTGCTATTGTCCATTGATAAAGAACATATATAATTGTTTATGCTGTTCACAGTGCATACTTAAACGAATTTGTGTTTCTCGCCGTGAGCCTTAGGCGAAACTTGGCTGCCTTATAGTATTATTTTATGTTCAAGTGGTCTGTCGTTGATGCAACCCTTAAGCTGGCCATTGAGAAGTAAGCGTCAATCTTTTACTTTTACACAAGTTCTTACCGTCTCCTCATTTGAAACTTATTACAACCATTATTAGAAAGAATTGTACAGGAGAAAATAATTAACCGTAAGCTTGTCATTTTAATGAGCAACATCTCCAACGAAAATGAAGGAAATTTCAATCAAACATACATCCAAAAAATTATGTTAGCAGAAAAAATTTAGGTCCTCGATTGACCCACGCGATCGTTCTGTTTATGAGGAGCTTAAATTTTTTCTCCAAGTTTCGATACTAGACATGTTCTTCTCGTAAATTTTGGTTTCTTTCATCTGCCGTAATGGAATTTAGCATAGCTCAATAAACACGGTACCATATACGCATCGCAGGATTAGAACAACATTCCTTTACAGTTGCCTAATCGTCCTTCGAAATTCCGGAGCATTAGTTTCTTCGCTGTTGAGTAAACGGAGCCAAGGGTTTCTATAGTTTCAGAGACTGTCAAATCAACTAGATTTCCTAAATGGAGTTCATGAGATCAGTCGATCACCCCAGCGGAATCGGGATTAACTCGCGGGGAAAAAAATAGTAAGTTGAATGTATGTATGTGCCTGCATCTGTCAGAGATATTCCATGTCTGTTTATATTTTTAATCAATTCATTAAACGGTTTCTCATGCCACTAAAATTCGTCACGACATAACAACGGAGCTCTCTAAAATTGCTCTAAGATTATACATAATTGATAAATCCCCGCCAGTAGTAGAATTTTAGCGTTTTTTAAACGGATTGCAAGAAAAGTAGCGATGTAAAACGGCATAGATTCGTGAGTTACGCGTTGTTTTAATAAGTGCACGTGTATATGGTGCGGATGTTTTCACAATCGCTCAGCGCAATCTACCGATAAGATAGATAAGAACAGAAGGTTAAGTTGTCATTTCATTGGTTACTGATATTATGCCTTCATTATACTCCATAGCAAGGCAAACATCTTCATTTAATGACTTTGTAACTATATCTTTTGGGAACTTCTTCCTGTGCGTATCTGCTCTCAGCAAACAAATTAACGTGCTCGAATTTCCTTTCAAATGGCGGTCAAATACGGTAAGGACTATCTGAAACCATTTTGGAAACAGTTTCAGCATATTTGAAACTCAGATGATAGCATAATTTACAGAAATTTTTCCCAGTAGTAAGTACAATTGGACAATATCCTTCAAAGTAACTTATATAGAACTTTTAACTTGTGAGAGGTGATAAATATCCAAAAGCGATACGCCATTTTGAGATTTTGATGCACAGCTGTTGTGCAAACTGCCATATTCTGTCAAAAATCACAGATTTTGAATTTTTGACTATGATAACTCTCTTCTCTTCTTGATTTGGCGATGGAATTTCATTAGAAAGCATTTTTTATTTTTGCAAGGAGTGGAAATTATAGTTTGCTTCTTCAAGAAATGATGGACATTCCACCGTCTGTCCCCTAATGTGTTCAACAAGGGTCATTCTTAGATGTCTAGACAAACTCTCTCTTCCTGTCAAGTTTGTTGGATCTGCTGTTCAAAACTAAACTGTAGGGAATTGAAAATGGAGATTTTCCCTATCTAAGAGTCTCATTATAGTTTAGATTTGAAATTTTGTTATAATATCACATGAAATTTTATCTCAGAATAATGTCCCAGTTAAATTTTAATGATATTTTCTATTTAATTGCAATTAATTGTGAACCATAAATGATTATTACACAATCAAGTCTGTAGGTGAAAGTCATTGAGTTAACCCTTCAACTCCCATGATTGACCAAGACAGAATTTCTCCTTGTAATGTCAGTACAATATCAAGCAGACAAGTGGTGAGAATAAAGAAAAGTATCAATTAGGAAATTATTAATTGATCCAATGCCAAATTCTTAGAATTAACATCACAAGAATTGTATGACGGATAAAAATGAAAATAACTCATGAGATTTTGGGGGTATAAGGGTTAAGAAATGAAAACATAAACCTGAGAGACAATTGTTTCTTGTTCTCTTTATTAAATAAGACACTTTCTTTAACTCTGACAAATCTGTACTAATAATGTGATCATAGAATTGATAGTCTAAAAACTATTGGGATGAAAATCTTCCTTTTCCATAACCTGTGATAAACCTTTTAACTCCCAGATCAAATTTCTCGTTCTTCTCACTGTCAACCATACAATTCTTACAATGTTAGGTCAGATAATTTGGTATTGGATCAACTAATTATCTCCAAATTGATATTTTTCTTCATTCTTATCACTCATCTGGTTGATGCTGTAATGATATTGTAAGGAGAAATTCTGGCTCAGTCACTCTTGTGAGTTAAAGGGTTAACCCTTGAACTCCCAGAACAAATTTGTTATTCTCCTTACTGTCAACCATACAATTCTTATAATGTCAGTTCAGAGAATTTAGTGTTGGATCCACTAATTATCCCCAAATTGATATTTTCTTTATTCTCATCACCTATCTGGTAGATATTGTATTGATATTGTAAGGAGAAATTCTGTCTTGGTCACTCATGGGAGTTAAAGGGTTAAGTAACACCTATAAATATAGGGTGAACAAAAGTGATAATCTGCTCAAGCTTAATTTGCAATCGTTGAAATCATGATATAGCTTTTTCACAATAAATTTTTGTTATTTTAACCCTTAAATCCTGAAGAGTGACTGACATCTAATTTCTCCTTACATTATCATCCCTGAATCAAACATAAAGGACACAAGAGAAAAGAAAATGATCATCAACTTAAGAAGTTCTTGATTGTTAAACAAATTCTCCCTGTCACTACCATGAGAGATGTATTAGGAACAGTATGGAGAATATGTTTACTAATGGTCGGGTGTAAAGGGATAAGGATAAACATTTACTTATGGTAACTAGACCAAAAGGTCTGGACCAGATTGATTCATTACTAGCTTAGAGCTGTAATTTTTCCAAATTTAACTCACTAGGATTGGATCCATTATTAATGTCTCCAGAAATAGAATTTCATAGGAGAGAAAAAGGGAATGAAAATAAGAAGGACATTTTACGCACTACTACAAAAACCTCTTTACACCCAAAAACTCAAAGGCACATGTCATTCCCCTAAATGTCTACCCTACAATTCCCCTAATTGTCACTTCTGAGAATTTGAATAATATTCCCCTTGATGATGTTTTTAGTAACTCATTACCTACCTGCTTGATATTGTATTGATATTGTAAGGAGTAATTAGTTCTATGTCACTCCTTGGAGTGAAAGGGTTTTTGAGTACTAAAAATGTGTCAGACTATTTTACTCAGGTTTCTAAATTATTGGAGACTTTCTCTGCAAATGTAGTTATCGATTTTTTTTTCAACTTGTCATGGCAACCCAAGCAGTTGAAGCAGGAAGCTTTGCTTTGTGTTGTGTTCTGGGGCAGAAAATTTTTTCTCACCATACCTTTCTTCACTTACAAGTATGGTTGGTTACTGGGGAAGCCTCACAAATTCTTAGCATTGCTTAGCAGCCTGTTGCTCTATGTTCTAGAATCTGAGATAAGCTCTAATGCAGTGATGACCTATTAGGCTTACTTTTTTAACAAGAAACATTATTGAATCTAAGTATATCACTGGCAGTGCCAGTGGGCTGTATGAAGTAAATCCTGTAGTGGCCACCCAAGCAGGCGAGATGGGCCCATTTTTCCCACCCTGCATTGCCCGAAAACTTGCAAAAAAAGGTTTGCGAGTTACAGACCTGAACTTTGTCTTAGTCCATAAAAATGTAAAAAAATTGGCCAAAATGTAGCCATCTTGACATCATGCTTGGTCGGTAACACACATAAACATGTATTTAGTTACTTCTTGGTCAAAAGTTGTTCAAAGTTTTTTTCTTCTTTGCACTTAAAAATTTGAAACTTCAATGGCTATTCCCCAAACCTGAAAGTCAATCCTTGAACCTTGATCCTCAATTCTTGAAATTTTGGAATTTTGGAGATATGGGGATGGAGTTTTAAGTCAAGACTGTCAATTAAGACTTGAGCAGTACTCTACATCTAATCTGTTTTTTCTTTGTTAATTGCAGGACCTGGATAGTACTGACAGGGTGATGTGAATTTAAACCCTTCTTCTGTCATTTATTTGTCTGGCAATGTCAAAACCATTCTTTCTCAAGGGTGGAGTTAGAAGAATAAGGCCCTCATCACTTGGTTCTGATTCAGATGAGAATGCTTTGGTACGTCAAGGCACCCAAGCTTATGAACTGGAGTTAGAAAACATTTCTGACAGTGATGGGAGCAGTGTCAAGAACATGGAAGAACTTGATCCTTGCAGTCCAAATTCATCAACTCCTAGAAGTCTCTCCCCCCTTAGCTCACTTAGTAGTGGAGAAAGCCAGTTCACCAACAGAACATTTGAGTTTCCTCGAGAACCATTTAATGTTCCACAGTATGACAATTTGCGCTCCCCTGTTATGCGACCAAGTACATCTCTTTTAGAAGTGTCAATTGCTAACTTGCCACCAGAGTCTGAGTTGAAGCAGTCTCTGTTAAAAATCCGTGAACAGATGGCTTTGAGTCTTGTGCGATTAAAGGAGCTGGAGGAACAAGTTAGGAATGTACCAACCTTACAAGTTCGCATTTCTGTGTTACAAGAGGAGAAACGCCAACTTATCAAGCAGTTGCAATCCAAAGCTACTAGAAAAAGGAGCCTATCAGTAGGCCCTTCATTAGGTATTGATTACTCTGTGTACAATAATGCACACCCCAAAGGTTCAAAGAGTGACACAGAAAATGATGGTGATGATGACTATGCTCTGATCAGGAAGAAACTTAGAGTCAAGTTAAACTCTGTTGGTGTTGGAGATTACTCAGTAAATGGACCTTGTTCTTGTTGTCCCACAGCAACACCAGTAGTAGTTAAGGCTCCTGTGAAGTCTGTGTGCGTTGGTACGGATATGGATTCAGATCAGAACAGTCCACTACCAATAAAAGAGGTTGAGGAACCAGTTAAACCAGTTGTACAAACAAGATCAATTGGAGTTGGAATGATGAGGTCTTTCACAAGAGATGTTGGTGTGGGTGAAGATAAACCAATCATTAACACTGAAAGCAAAGGTTCTCAGGCTTCAGTAGGAATGGTGGATTCTGCCTGTGATGCTCTGTCTACCACACCTACAAGTGATATGGCAGTGTTAGTGAAACCTGATGTATGCTCAAAAGGAATTGGCACAATGAAAGAAAACTCAACTGACAGTTCTTTTTACAGGGGAACTGAAATTTGTTCTTCAAAACTGTTGGTTCACACTGGTGTTCAGACAGGCAGAAGTCCAGAGGTGTCATTAGTATCAATCGGTGTGGGAATATGCACCATTGATGATGAACCATCCTGCCGAAAGTGTTCCAACAGAAAGTCCCGAGCAGTGGTGAAAACTGTTGACGAGATCATGGCCAATCGTATTGACATCCCATTTTACAGATCTGTTGGGGTTGGTGATTCTAGTCTCGATGACAACTATCTTTGCAATCACTGCAGCAACATTGAGACAAGAACAATTGCAGTTGGAGAAAAGATTGAATATAGAAACATTGCTATTGGCGACTTCAGTGTATCTGAGGACTCTTGTTGTGACCGTTGTAGTAACCTCAAGCAAAGAACTATAGGCTGTGGCACTGATTGTGTTGTTACTGTGGACACTGGTTCTGGAGAAGAGAGGATTGATGACTTTCTGTTTTGTGACCACTGTTCAAAGTTACAAACAGCATCCATTGGAACAGGTGATTACAAACTGGAGGAAAACTCTGTTTGTGAACTTTGCAATTCCAAAATTCAATCGGAGGCTGAAAACATCATGGAGAGTGTGGTGACTACAGATATTGCTGTTACAACAGAATCAGTTGTTGAGGGTGGTTATCCAGGTGCTGAGAAAAACAAGGAAGAAACATGTGTATCTATGAAAAATATCAGCTCTGCTATGGGAAGTTCATGTACACGTACAATCGGTGTTGGCAGTTGTGGCATCATGGACTCTTTCTGCAACAGGTGTGACAATCTCCACACCAGGTCTATTGGAGTCGGCAGTGGTAACATTTCAGTCGATGTAATTTGTGACAGATGTTCCAATAAGAAAACAAAGTCAGTTGGAACAAGCAGTGACATCATAGAAACAAGAACGCTTGGTGTCAGTGAGTGTTGCATTACAGATAACTACTGTGACAGATGCATGAACATCAGGACTCAAAGTGTGGCCATTGGAGACTGTTGTGTAACTGACAGCTTCTGTGAGCGCTGCTTTAATGTCCAAATGCACTCTATTGGTGTTGGAGACTTTGATATTAATGCAGAGGATGACACGCCTGTAGTTATACAAGCTAATCTAATATCTGTCGACAATAACAACAAGGTGGACATCAACATGAACATGAAAACTAAAAACAGCTCTATTACAACTAAAAATGTAGTCAGACACATACAGTCAACACAAGGCAGTCCTCTTATGTACTCAAATGATGGCATTAAGAAGGTGTTTATGAACAGCAAGGAAAGCGACCTTCATGAGTCTGATGAGAGCATTGACAATGATAACCCCAGCAGTGACACAGCAAGCCAAACCAGTGAAGTTTTGGTAACAACACCATCTCCAGAGCGGATTAGGTATGGATCCTTCATAAAGCTATAACTAATTTACCACAGAATAATTAAGACAATTTTTTGAAGTTTGAAGGCATTATTTGTTCCAAAAAAAATGGTAAGTTTTTGAGTCAGAAAAGAGACAGTTGACTGTGACATCTGGTTGTCTGGGGGAGGAGCATTACTTACAGCAGTGACTGATGTTTTGAGCACATGTAAGATATAATTGTCTAAAATTTCATTCAGTACAAATTGGAATGCAATCCTTTCAGAGATCCTTAAGATGTTTCATTTCAAAAGCATCCATTTGGCTCAGGAAACAATTAAATTCAGGATACACTTAATCCTCATGAAATTTTCCAAAACATTTCCAATGTATTTGTACAAAGAGTGTCAAATTTGTTGTGGGTGTTTTGTAGTTATTCAAAGTATTTACATAGGTGAAGTAATGTTACAGCCATGTAATGTAATGAACCAACATATTTTTGTAGGCAATCAATCTGCAACTTTGTCACTAAGTGAATAATACTTGGTGTTAATATATGTCATAATTGAAGTTGACAAAGATTCAGGGATTTTTTACTGATAACAAATGAAAGTTAAATCAAAGCCATATTGGTAGTTAATGCTTTTAAGACATACATCTGCACATGTATAGCCAAAATGAGAAAACTTTGCAAATGGCCAAGTAAATATAATAGTTAAAGGAATTTACATATATTATTTTTACCTCCAGAGTCATGTATAGTCTTGACCTTTCCCTGTGCAAGGTTGTGTCTTCTCAATCCTTTGACTCTTATGAGTGATCAGCTCATCAATTCTCCCTATCATTTTCATACACTTTCAAGTAGTCTGGTAATGAGCATTAATGAAAAATTATCAACCGGTAGAGAAGTCTTGACATTCCTTGTAGCACTATATTTATAAGAGGAGCAACAAATGAATGAATCAACTTGAGAAGGGAAGATTAAAATAGAACTTATGAAAAATTAGTTCTTCTAAATCCTTTGACTCTTAGGAGTAATCTGCTCTTCAATAATTATTCTCCTTATCATTTTGATACACAGTGAAGTAGTCTGGTAATGAGCATTAATGAAAAATTGTCAACCGGTAGAGAGGTCTTGACATTCCTTGTAGCACTATATTTATAGGAGGAGCAACAAATGAATGAATCAACTTGAGAAGGGAAGATTAAAATAGAGAAAAAATGTGCAACAACAGAAATGCACAAATTATCTATACTATAAGCTAAAGCTAAACTACATATACACTCTGTGACAAAATTAGTAGACACATAAAATTCACGTGGCTTTTTGTAAGGATGTATTAGGTTATGACATGGCCTGAATTTTTCTACTGAAATACAGCCCCCAAAATTGTTCACAGAGAGAGGAAGTGAAAGTAGGAATATTGGTGACAAAATTGGTTTACCATTCCAGAATATCAAGTTGAAGGTGTCAGAAATTTTGTCACTGGTTGTAGAAAAGCATTTGCTAAATGAAGTGTTAATTTCAGCAATTGTAGTGATCAGTGCAATGATCACTGTGGGAAATGCTGTGGGAAAATTAACAAAGCATGTATCTACACTGTACATCACCTATCATATATGGTAACTTTTTTGCCAGTGGCACAGTATCTCTTAAATTCAGGGACATTTTCTGTTAATTTTTTTTTTTCAATCAGCTTAGTGGAATGTAATTTCAATTTTTATAGCCACTTATTTGGCAGTTTGATTATGGGGTATTTTTATTGGTAACAGTGCTAATGATTCTTTATAGTCTGGTGAAAAAGTAGATTTTTATTTGAAGCAGGCCTTAATTGGTTTGTGTTTAAAGGCTCTTCGATGCTATTGAGTAACAACTACTGCTGTAAGCAAGCCTCAGTTAAATGCACTGACTGTGAGATGAGTAGCATATCTTCAGACTTGCTTTTACTAAAACCCTACATCAAAGACTGTCTTGTGTGCGTGTTTAGTGCAGTTCAGGCAGTTGAACATGAGACTAAATAAACTTAGCAGTCAGACAAATTAATACTGTCTGAATTTCTATTGTTGTTGGCCTTAAAAACCTAAAGTGTTTTTTACTTTTGAGAACTTGTTTTCACCGCTTACTGAGAACTTTAAATGACTGTATGATCTTAAATCCAATTTTCAGTAAAACTACCTCTTGCCGTTTTGTATCTATTTTCAAGGAGTTTAACTCTTAAAGCTTATTACGGTAATCCTGTTCAGAAGCAATATCAGTGATTAAATCAGTCATATATTGTGCATTTTTCCTGACTTAAAGGATGAAACCACTTGACCACTTATTAGTAAATGGATCTAAGAGATTGCTATCTTGTTTTCAAAGATAATACAATATTGTTTTTAGTTTTTTTGTGTTTATTCAAAGAAAAGTTCAAAGGTTTTATAATGGTATTTGAAGAGAGTCTTTTGAAAGATGTGATGGAATTTCTAAACATACTTAATGCTGCTAGAAGTGAAGAGGAGTCTTTTCTTCAAATGATGACTTATCTCGTTCCCATCCGTTGATCACTTCAATAACGAAACTTAATACCCAGATAATGCTTTTTCAGTGAGTCCTTCCCGCTCTTTTCTCTCAAGTATACTATCCCACTCCTCCCCTGTTACAAAGCTTTTGAAAACTTACAACATCCAACTTGTTTACAATTATTTGAGGATTTTTTTATTGTGTTTTTATTTCAGAATAACAGATGAAGTTGTGGTGGCGTGCAAACTGTTGAATGGGCATCTTTATAAAGGAAAAGAGATTGGCAGAGAGCAAATGGTGATCATGTTGTTAAATTGTGTTTTTATTAGTTATTCTTTTTGCAGATTTTTTTTTGTAACATCTCATTGTCTTTTTTTTAGCTTTTGTGTTCCTTTTGTTTTCTGCTTTGCGCTTCGTTTAGTTTTAGGTAAATGTAAGAAGGTTCTTCTAATAACTGAGCAAAAAAGAATTGCTTAGTTTTTTCGATCTTTGAATGCCTATTGTTGCTTAAATGTTCTTCGCTGACGGTAAAACTATGCACCATAACTTGTCAAGTATGTTAAGCATTCTGAGATTACAATAACTCCTTTGATTATCATGTAATTGTCTTAATCCTGGTAAAGGATCATTTTTCTATTTGATGCAAATTAGTCAGATTAGCATCATCATGTTCTGTTGAGCTAAGAATTCAAAGCAAAAATTAAATTGATCAGGTTTAAAGAGTAGGGGCTCTTGGTCTGAATTTTGTGTTACGGTTACTGGGAATCTTTATTTTTAATTTGGCTTCAACTAAGCTCAGATATTGTTATCGAATCAAATGCCATGCATTCTACGTGATTAGTTACTGCCAACTGTCTGTAAGAGTGCGCATGCACGGCTTACGATTAGAAATTTATGTTCAGTATGGCGCTTTGTTTTAAAAATTTATGGTCCACCTCGACTAAGTTAAGGGTTCGATTGATAGTGATGCAAGAACTGCACTAAAAACAAGAAGACTAAGGAAGTTTGAGGGAGAAAACTGTGTATTCAGACTCGACAAAACTTCCATGGCACATGTATGTTCGAATTAGGGTGATTGCTGTGGGGAAAGTTCTTACATATGTTTTTCCTAACGTTACCGTTCTGGTGTGCTTCCCTTCAATCCTAGGTCACACGTGACGTCAGAATTTGTTGAGAAGGAAGTATTGGCGTGTGATCCAGCTTTGGTTTTTACCTCATTCTGCCGTCACATGTGACCTATTCTGTTTTGCGATTGAAATTGAAACGATTCCCGGAAATGTTCTCCAATTACGTTGTGTAGAATCTCGGGAAAACCACATGGACTCTTTCAAGAAAATCTTTCATCTTCAGAGCTCATTTTAAACTTGTTCTGAGCATATCTTCCCAAGGAAAAGTAATGTAATTCGATAAACGTTGATACTCTCAATGAAACGTTTTTTCTAGTTCGAAGTGAATTTATACTTTTACTTTTCTTTTAGCATCTAATTTCTCCTTAGACCACCTTCCCTGAATCAAAGATCAATGTCAAGAGAAAAAAGGAAATGATCAGCAGTCACAGAAATTCGATTGTTAAACAAATTCTCCTTGCCATCACCTTAAGAAATGTATAGAGAACAGAATGAAGAATATGCATACTTTTTTTTGGTGTAGAGGGTTAAAATTTTGATTGGCTTTGGTATCGTGATTTATGAGTTCTTATCACTTAAAAACGCAAAGTACAAGCACGGTGTAACTATCCAAAAACCTTGGGAGGAACTTACATTTGCATTTCTTCTCCTCAGATCTCGTGCATGAGTACAGTGGAAAACAACTGGTTTCGTTGTGTCAGCTCTAGAGACAGTGACCCAGAGGTGATCAAAGGGCTCTTGAGGATATTCAAGAATCAAATACATATGTTGCTGGAAACTATTCTCAACCTCGTGGACGGCAATGTAAGTGTCGAGTCGTGCGCTGCAGAGCCCATGGCCTCTGAGTAGAGGAAGTGTTGTGTGTCATATCTGTCACAAAGTCTGATGTAATGAAAAACAACAACTGGTGTAGGATATACCAGGTCTATCATAAGCATGAACTCGGCTCGATGAGTGGAATTGACTCTTTTAGAGTGATGAAGGTTCTAAGATTTCGAGGAATTAAAGTTTTTGCCTCACATAAATTGAGCTCTACAAGAGAAGGAGGAAGGACGGGAATGAGTGGAATGGGTAATTGAGTGAGTGAATGTATTGGTCGACTCATTGATTGATTAAACAACTCCAAGTTGATTGACTGAGTAACTGACCCATTGATAATTTAATATTGTGGTTAAAAAATGTCATCTACTTCGCCCACAGGGAAATAATGCATTGCATTATGCTGTGTCATTTAGAAACTGGAAATTAGTGGACGTGTTACTGGACACGGGACTCATGAACCTGAACTTACCAAATAAGGTATTGTTATTCTCCAGAATTTCTCATCTTCCCAAAAGTTTGATGTGTAGTTAAAGCAGTTCTCTCTCGATATAACGCTCCCGATTTTGCGCTCAGTAAACTGTCTGTCGGGGAAAACCAAAAAATTATCAGTGAACTTGGCTTGGTTTCAAGTTATTACTGAAATGATAATGAGTATATAAGGAACGAAGGCCGGTTATGTCCACAATTCCTAAGAGGGAGGGCACGGGGAGAGAGGAGGGAGGGGGTGAGTGTGAAATTGTGCTGTCCTAGCCAATTGAGTCAACCATTTCGTTATAGAGCGTTAGGTGCTAAGTGCCAAGCAGGAAGAAGTTTTCCCTTACACTGAATAAGCTTCTGTTATTCTGTTGTCTGGCGAAAGTATAGAAATTGTATGAAAGGCAGTATAATTAATTTACTGAATGATTACCAGGCTGGGTACACTCCGATTATGATGGCTGCTTTGGCAGGAGTCGTGAAAGAAGACGACAAAGACATCGCCAGGAAATTGTTTCAAACAGGAGACGTCAACAAGCAAGTCGAGGAAGTAAGTTCACTTATACGTCTGTTTTCTCTCCGTTCCACGTCCGCAGTGATAGCGCCATGTCTTGGTTTAGTGAAAATAACGCATTCAGTACACGTTCCATCGGAGAGCACATTTTATATCGACGTGGGTGGTTCTCTTTTTATGTGACACCATTGCGAGATTTCCCTCCAGGGTGACATCCTCTTTCTGATATATCAAGCAACCCGTGTGAACTTGCACAAGCACGAATCGTTCCCGTTTTTACGTTTGTAGGGGCGAACTCAAATTCTAGGAGGAACTCGCATTTAACTCGCATATACTCGAAAGTCACCTCTTGACCATTCTTCTTATTATTTTTTCAACCCCAAATGAATGCTACTCGGTATTCAAGAACTTGTCCCAGGGTTCAATCTTTAACTAAAATTCGTAAGCTTCATGTATGCGAAGATACACGCCTATTTTTACAGTTTTCCTGAATGTTACTCATAATTTTTCTTTGGAATAATCAGACAGGACAAAGTCCACTTATGTTGGCTGTCAGTCGAGGGAGAATGGAAATGGTCGAGCTCACTCTAGAAGCTGGAGCCGATATCAACGCAACAGATGAGGTTAAAAACTTTATTTTCATTTTAGAGGGATTAGTCCAGATATCTCAGGCTTGAATTTTAAGTCATGATTTCAGTCAATATGTGCTGTTTTACAGGATAGCAAACACAGTTTTGGTTTATCATTTCGTCTTTTCATGAACAACATTTCTGTCGTCCTTTCATATTACTAGGATGGCTCTACAGCTCTTATGTGTGCGTGTGAACACGGTCATCTCAATATCGCCAAGCGACTGCTCTTGGAGCCTCATTGTGATGCATCACTAGAAGACCATGTGAGTGGACTTTGTTTAAAGTATGACAGTTATAGCTGATTTTTACAACAAGGGTTTCTATTAGTTTTCGTTCATTTTTTCCCCTCTGTGTTCCCTTTCTTGCAAGGGCTCTCCGCCTTTGAATGTCGTCTTCAACTTGTCTAGCGGAAAGTTACTATTCCTGTTTCGTAAACATAAAAAAGATGCCAGTCCATCGATCAGGTATACCCACCCCTTCCCCCTCCTTCAACTTTTCGTCAAGTACTCATGTTAGTGCGGCGGTTGTCATTTGCATTCCTGGTTACACAGAAGTACCGGAAGAATTAAGTGTCTTGCCATTACAGCTTGAAAAAGTAAAATGAGATAGTTGTATTTTCTGAAAAGGTATATAAATTGATGAAAGTTCACTCGGGAAAAAAATGTGATTTAATTTTTTTGCTCTTTTAGGAAGGAAGCACTGCTTTGTCTATTGCCATGCAAAGGAACTTCAAAGACTTGGCTTTGCTTATATACGGAAATGTTAGCTTTGATCCAATTGGGAAACCTCGAAAGGTAGGCCGATGTTAAACGCTAAATAAAACTAAAATAAACGTCTTCTTCCAGTGATCCGTGATATGAATTCCTCGTTTTTAGCTTTAACATGTCTAAATCTGACCAGAGCTGTAAATTTTGACGTTCTTTCGTTGATTTGAAGCCTCTTCAACAGCCTCACTATACAGCTGATTTATTTCATTTTATTTTTTTTTTGCTTTTACAGAAAATCGGTGGCTTGCCGTGTAAAGCTTCTTGACGTACAAGCAAAGATTTCGGCAATCATCATTAGCTGTTTGATGGTGCTATAGTGTTTTAGACGCTTACTGGTCAATAACGTTTGAGTAGTAGGTCTCTGTGGTATCAGTAAGAGTCGACTTTTAAAAACCGTTATAGTTGGGAGTACATGCCTCTTTGTGTGCCACATTTTTTTGGTGTTTGACCATATTATCAGTCTTTTTGATCGACACTTCTTGGTCTCAGTTGTAGTAGTTTTGTGCAAAACAAATTTTTTCAGGAAGAAGTAAACTGGTTTAAAAAGAAGAAAGAAAAGTAGAATTAGACGAGATTTTTTCCACCTTTTACACACTGTCCTCCTTACATTTCCTCTGGTACCGATAAGGAGAATTTGTTTCACAATTAGGAGCTTCCTAAATTGGTGATCATTTCCTTTGTTCCCTTTACATTTGATTCAAGGTTGATACTGTAAGGAGAAATTATAAACCAGTTTTTCTTTGGGCTTCAAGGGTCAATGGGGTTCTAACTTTATCAGTTTTCGAATTTAGAATTTTAAGATACCTTTGAAAAGCTGATTTATCCAGCGTTTATAAAGGAACTCTATTTAGAGGCTCAGTTACTTATTTTTCTGTGGTAAAGCAAGGGTGTCTGGACGCTGCCAGGGGGCAGAGGATTTCAAACAGACTAAAAACATGAGTAAGATATGATTGTAAATAGAGTATGAGTTTTCTCCCAGTAAAAGAACCAAATAAATTCACATGTAGATTATCCTAACTTATAGAACCTCTAACTTTAGCTAATAAAGGAGGTAAGTTTCTAAACAAAGTGTGGTGCTGAGTCGGTGGTAGAGTATAACAAGGTATTTCAGTATTATCAACTGAGCTGATAACGGAAATTGGCCACCGTAAAGTGTTTCAAAGCTGACGTTTCGAGCGTTAGCCTTTCCTCAGAGCGAATCTGACGACTCTGGAATATTAACGAAGATTCACGAATATGTTCTGAATAAGTTCTTACTAATATTTTTAAACCTCGTAGAATTTAGGAAAGGTCTTCCTTAATTGGAAGAAGGGAGGCTTGTCTGGCTAAGGCCTGAAGGTGGTTTTACGATTTTGATAATGAACATGAAAAAATTACGTACCTCTGATTGGCTGAAAACGAGTGCATTCTCATGTAATACGAAAGCAAAGTTGAAGCACGAGTGCAAATTAGAAATTACGTGCACGCTTTCAAAATTTCGTCTGTCTTGACTTTCTGAGATGTTTTTTCATGTACATTACTTACAAGTATACGCAATAACATTATTTCTCTTGCAATTTGGTGTAATAAGCACTTGTAAATTTTACAAAGACCACGAATTAAAAATGTACTCTTGCTTATTAACACCAAATTGCACTCGAAATCGTGCCTATATCTATAATATGTATATATATATATATATATATATATATATAAACATTTTCAAGGTGGTATTGAAGGGTTTACTGTGTTTCAATTTTTTGTTATTTTATTTATTAAATATTTTATATATAATTTTTAAATAGTAAAGCCCTTATTATTTTATTACTCTTTATTTAACACAGAATGTCGGTCATTTATATTTTAGCTGGCAAGACTGTTTCAATAGTTATTCTATCGATGTACTACAGTAATTAATAATTATTTTTGTTAAAATGTGCATAACATCATGAAATATGTTAAATCTTGCGTGTCTATGTCTTGAGCTATGTCGAGATTTCTTAGCTTTCTTTCCAAAATGTACCCTCATCATTTCGTTTCTCGCCGAGTTATCGGCCTTTTTTATTTAAACCCGTCAATCATATGCACAAAAGCATCAAAATGTTTGGTCAAAAACAAACGAGAACTTTTTATAAGGGGTATACGAACTAATTTTTCCTTGCTCAAATGTGTGATTACAAGAGATTATAAATTATAATATCTTGGTGATTATCATACCCTAATGACCCGGATTTCTGATTGAAATATCCGACGACTTCTGAAAGTTATCGGAGACTTTCTGACGACTCTCCAACATTAACGAAGAGTTACGAATAATTTGTGATGTGTTCGAGGCGTCTGGCCCCCCAGGATCTGCCCCATGATTTCCCCATACCCTGGTGCCTCTTTTTGTAGACACTTGAATGACAGAAGGACACTTGTTTTGCTTTCGTGTCACCTGCCGTACCTGAAATGGAACACTTCATTGAGCTTTAGTTAATAATTATCAGGGAGCAAAATACTAGCAGGGGTCGGGAATGTGAAAACGTTCAGCTTGTAAGATCTTTTAAATGATTTGTAACATTATTTAGCATTGGCTTGCTTTAATGTGAATAATGTGAGTCTTCTCTGTTGTTCATTGTAAAGTTGGAAAGTGCAGAAAGATCTTAATGTTTCCTAAACCGAGCCTGACCCCCACCCCCCTTCTTCTCCTAGAGAAGCAAACATGACGATCAGACCTTTAGTTGTGATGTGTGTTCCCGCGGGACCGTAAACACTTCCGATAGTGTGCATAAATACTGATTCACTCGCAAATTGTTCAGAAAGCTTTTTGTGAAACCATGGGTGAGGGTAAAAGAGAATTAATCGCCGAGCTGGAAGACGATGAGCGAAAATATAAGGTGAAGGTAGACGGCGGATCATCGGTAAGTTGCAGTGTCTGAACTCGCATATTACTCTAAAGTGTGCGTTCGTTCTTCTCGAATGCTTTCGCATTTATAGAAGCAAATGCTGCGTGAATATGAATAGTTTATAATTGTTTGTTGGAGAGCAGTTGCAATTAAGTATTGTCAACTCCAGGGGTTTCATGCAGCACCGGTTTCCGGCGGTCTACAACCGCTTGCGAGACCACTAATCGCCGTATATTTAGCCTGCGAGCAGGTTCTCGTGTTTCGGTTTCGGTAGGGCCGCCTATTACACCATCGGCAACCGCCAATGGAAAAATACATCCTTCTGTGTTCTTCCTCGTTCTTCAAAGCATGCTGACAAGGTTGAGTTCAGTGTACATGTAATCTGTAGTTGCTACAAGGACAGGATCGCGAATGATTCATGACTGTTGCATTCCGTGAAATCGTTCGTGCATAACATTGTTCGCTTCGACTGCGTCACGCAACTGCATCATGTAGTTTAACTTGAATCAATGCTATTAATTTGTGTTTTCTTCAGTGAGTCAAACAAGTGAACAGTTTGAATTTAGCAAGTGTTTGTATGTAGTTCGTCCTTTGAAAGCGAAGGCGACCATGACTTCGGGAAAAAAAAACAAAAAAAAACAAAAAACAGACAGACAGACAAAACAAAACAAAACAAAAGCAAGGAAAAACACTCCAAGATTAGCATTACTTAAAACGGGGTATAACAGCTTCGCGACTTTGCAGTATGCAGAATCCTTGTCATCTAACATAAAGATTCAGCCAAACCATTTTGGCCAAATATAAAGTAGAAGCAGAGGCCCGAAATAGTCTCCCTTCACATTCGCTTCGGATTAGTGAATTTCGGCCTCACTTGACTGGCATTACTTTTTCTTCACCTTGCTCACGCATGTTAATACAGGCTTCGATGAAGCGCACATGGCGCACTTATTGTCATTATTAATATTTCACCCACAAATTTGCTCAACTTAATGGGTTACCATATTCCCATATTTATTTTTAAAGGGGCCACGTTTGGCGCACTACCTGCTCCATAGCTTAGCTCGTATCGAACCGTGAAGTCAAAAGGTCTTGGTTCCAATTCTTTATAAAGTACTCGGATGTTTTCTTTCGTCGGACGCTCGTGACAAAATTATTGAAATCCTTACGGTGGACTGTACACTGTAATTTCGCTTCTTGTAAGATCTCAAATGGAAGCCGTACAAAAACCATGTGAGGAAGATTTGATAACTTTACTTTTTGGAATCTCAGAACCTAGCAGATAAAGAATTTTTGCGTAAACTTTTGAAAGGAGGTTATGGAATCATACAGCAGTTTTCAACAACTTTTTCTATAAGCAGTTGAACAAGATACCGTGCTAAACAGGTGGGGGACCCATGTGATAAAGTTTCAAGTGCATCAAGATTTTCCTCTAATTTAACGACATCCTGACCAACCTTTGAAAAAGACATGCCTGCGGATTCAGTTGTTGCTTTTCAGGAAAAGAAGTACTTTGGCTTGAGCAAAAGACGATTGGCTTTAGTTGCGGTACGTTTATCACATTGTGTATTTCAATAGTTAACTCTTGTGGAAATTTGTTTATTATCTTATGAAGCCAACAAATTTACATACTTCCATTTCTTGTAGGGAGCAATTTTAGTCATTTTGTTAATAATTATATTACTCGTGGTGTTTCTCGTTAAAGTACGCTCAAAGAAATCCAAAGGTAAGCTTAAAGTCCTTGTGATTTATTTTGTATTTATTTATCTATTTTTTAATCTTTTTGTGGTCTGCTGGTGTTTGAACGTATTTTGATATAAGACTAAATCAGCCGACCGTGAATTTCTACTCATTGACCAAGCATTAAAACCTAGACCTTTAGACGTTTTCTTGTGACCTCTTTACCTTAAACACCTCCATATTTGAAAAAAATACCCTTGTATTCCTCTGGAAAGACTCCACCCCACCCAGGCAAGGTTCAAACTCTCCACTCCCAAGCACAGACGACAGTCAAATTCCCGTGGGTGCTTGGGGTGGGGGGAAGGATGTTGAAGCTTCGAATTGATCGGCGCATAACGCCTGCGTCTGAGCCTTAACGGTACAGTATTTGTTCCGGGAGAAAGAACAAGGTGGGACTTCTGTTGTTATGATGTAAAGTTTTTCTTATCTACGGTCTCTTCTTGTCTTCGTTTTAGTCAGCAAATCACCTATAGGAGGACAGGAGGAATGGTAAGACTGGGTTGAATTAAAAAAAAACAAAAAAACACACGAAATACTGAATGTCAAGGGATATTTTGAGCAAGCGTGTGGTATGGTTAAACCAGATACTAGCCCATTTGTATGTCAAAAGCGGGAGGATTAGCGTGAAAAATTGGCAGACATCAGCAATTAATTTGGCCGGGATTTGCATGTGCCCTAGAGTAATGAAGTTACATGGTAAATCGTTACTATCGGAGGAAATAATTACCAATTTCCCATGCGTCAATTTTGAAGCGAAATGAGCTCTTGATTCTCAATAACGATCAAATTGACAGAGATTAGTTTATTAAATCATCTCTAGAGTGTGCCGGGCTTTAGGAAGTAGTTATATCTTTACATCTTCCTTAAAAAACAACATACAATTTCGAGAATTTGGAGAAAGAATAAAATGCTTATTTGACTGTTCCTTTCATGGCACATGATGTCGTTTATGTACTTTAAGAGAGGTCATCTGAGGAAGCCGTGAAGCTATTAACTTTATTATATTTACTATGTTTTTGTAATTTATTATGGACAGCTCATCAGATCCCCTGATTATTATCTCAATGGATGGATTTCGACCAGACTTTCTTGGGAGAAATCTAACCCCTAACATCGATTATCTTGGTAAGAAAAATCTGCTTCCATTCTGAACGTTTATCAGTGATCCAAATTAAAGAAGTATTCAGCAGTCCTGTAAGCAGACTGACATACAGTTACAGTTTGACGGAGAGATGAACAGACGGACCGACGGACGGACGGACGGAAGGGCCGACCGATGGACCGACGAACAAATAGACGGACGGAAAAACAGACGAGCAGACATACAGACGGACAGACAGACAGACGAACAGACAGACGGACAGTTAGACATACAATTATAAACGCAAGTTACTAAGTCATTCGTCACCTGACAAAACGTTACTTAGGGGCGTGTCTAAAACAACCCCCTCTTAGACAGACAGACAGACAGAGAACTCGCAAAAATCTATTTATCAAGCCATCTAAAGGCTAGAAAGTAAAAAGGGTGAGCAGAGAGGAACCATGAAGTCCAGTCAGTAGACCTCAGTGGTCTGGCCGACGGGCAGACAGCCATGAGCACAATTTGACTCTAAGCGGTGGCTTTCAGTGATATCATTTCGGAGAGAAGCCTACACGCACAGCAATCTTTAGAGGACAGACAAGTTGCTTACTTTTAGAGTAATGATTATATATCTGATACTCAAAAACAATAACGATTTGATCACGAAAGTAAACAGTAACTACGATTTGTTATTAATTTTCACTTGTCTCACAGCTAGCAATGGAGTTCGAGCAAAATTCCTCCTTCCTCAATTTCCCACAAAGACCTTTCCTAACCACTATTCCATGATAACGGTGAGCATGCACTTACGGAACGTAATGGTTAAATTAGGAGGACGATAATAGTGGTGGAGCGAAAAAGGCGGGAAGGGAAAAGGTTTGGACCCGACCCAAGCCTCCCTCGGTTTTTTCACTCCTCCGCTACTATCGCAACATTTACTATCCGTGCTTCGTTTCACTAACTGAACGTCTGAAACAGGCTATTACCTTACACATCAATTGGAACATTTTTTCTAATTTTAATGAAATCGATCGTGACTGTTTTTTCCTATGTTTTATTCCATCACTAGGGTCTTTTTCCCTCGCATACTGGTATTGTGGCTAACAATTTCAGAGACGAAAAACTAAATGACAACTTCAGAATTGGAGGACCGACGACATCTGATCCCAAATGGTGGAAAGGCGAACCAGTGAGTAGCTAACTTGAGTAGTTGGGGGTATTGTTGTTCACAAGAAACAAAATTTAACAGCGCAGTTTTCAAAGAGTCTGCAGTAATGCTGTGTCAGGGAGAGTGATAGGACTGATGATTTCAACAGGCCTCCTTCCCTGTCCTTTCGTGGCTGAGACGCTTGTTGGTATTTTCTTTGCTTGAACAACCCCGCCAGTTAGTTTCTTATCATCTTGGTATAAAGATCCTTCCCTCTTTTGAGACTTGTTCCATTACAAATTTTTCACCTTTTTGCCTAATGGCCAGACCCCGGTTGATCGAAGGATGGATAACTCTATCCACTGGATACATTGTATCCTCAGGATAGCACAGCACGTTGGATAGCGGTTTATCCGTTGGATAGTGCTATTCGCCCTTTTGAACAACTGGGCTTTGATGTTTAGAGCGTTTGGATCCAAACTGGGTTGGGTCATTGAGTCGTTTTATTGGGCATGACCTTATTACGATCAAATGTCCGTTCTGTTTTATCCACGGGATATGCGATGACGTGATACTCAGCCTATCCATTGCTTCAAAAGTATGAAGTTCGGGCCTTTTCCGGCTCATAATACCTCTTTCCACCCAGGAGTGTAAATAGTGCCATCAAACTTCCGGAGAGCCTACTGTAATGCTGAGGTGGGGGAGGGGAGGGGAGTAGCCATACTCCTTACTGCAGCGTAATTATGAAATTGGACTAAGGTCTGACTTTGGATGCCACTTAGCCCTTGGGTAATTTGTGCACCTTTGTGAGCGTCTAGCAAGCATCTCCAATGACTGCTTGCTCGCCGACTTACGACTACTTCGCTTGTCTACAGACAGTCAATCAAACGAAGCATCTGTTAAATCACTCAATAAGAAAACCAAGAGAAAAAAAAAATCGAGGAAGGCCAAGCAGAGTTACAACAACACCAACAGTAAACAAAAGAAATCAATCAGTTGGAAGGTTGAACGTCTCCTATCTCTCATTTATAGTTGTGGGTGACCGCCATTAAGCAAGGTCTTGTGTCTACGTGTTACTTCTGGGTCGGGTCTGACGTTCCTATTGAAGGTAAGATGTGTCTGTAGGGAATTTTATGATAAACTGAATGAATGACGCACTCATTGGTTCTTGCTTGTGATCTATGGTAGAACAGACATATACATGACGTCTCCATCAACAAGTATTTCTTTTTGTTATCATTAAAAAAATACATTCCATTTTTCCGTGGGTCTGCACAGTAACAGATCACGGCAGACGTCAAATTATGGTAACAACATTACTGACAAACTCGGCTGCGCGTTTTTGTGCTACTTTTTTATTCTGTCCACATTTTAACGTCATCTGTGATCTATTACTAAACAGACACACCAAATATATTTGTTAATTTGACGCCGCTAATTTTTCTTTTAGGAATATTACCCAACTTCACATATGCCTACAATCAGTAAGTATTTTATCATAGAGAGGAGGAGTTTTGTGTGAACAGTTGTCTGAGATAAATGATGTGCCGATTGTGCTTTCAATATGATGAACGCTGAATTTGCGATCATAAGACAAAA